AAAAAAAAAAAAAAAAAAGGCAAAAAACAAACACAAATAACCTTGACAGAGCCAGTGAAAGACACAAAGGGAAGGTTCTCACGCTTGAATGCTTGGTAACAAAACTATCACAGAGGACTCTGTAAAAACCACACCCTTGCACAAAGGCCATCACAGCCTTACACAAAAAATACTTGTGCAAGGACATCTACCCAGGAATTCCCCATCCAACCTCACACTGGTGTCACCTTCGTTATAGTTTTTTTTGCCAGAAATAATTATTTCAAAGGAATTATGTAATCCTGTTTACTTTTTTCTTTATAAACCACAGTGTTCGTTTACCACCCTGAACATGCACACAGCTTGCTATGCCATGCACATTTTCACTGCAATGCTCTATGTGCAAATAAATCTCTTTTAGAGAGCCTCTCTGTGTGCTTATTATTGAGGTTGGTACCCTCTACACATAAACCTTCTTTCCTTCACACAATGAGCTGGGAAATGATTAAGATGAGTAATTCACTACTGAAAAGCGTCATCAAAGAAAAGAGTCGTATTGAACTAAGGGCAGTGGGAAACACTCCTACAATGAAGATGTGTTCAGGGGCCTGTGCTCAGGGATGACACAAGCTTTCGGTTTCATCTCAGGTACGAGTCTCCTCCCCTTTCCACAAGCCTCTGGGGACAAGCACAGAGCTTGAATCATTTCCAGAGGTTCTCTGAGTGTTGCTGAGACTGAGCTGAGCAGTACCGCACAGCCTGCAGCTGTAACTAAGCACACGCCTTGGAATCCTTCTTGCAAATTTGTTTCTGCCCTCCCTGAGCCCTTGGTAGAAAAACAACTCGAAACAGGTATTAACAGTCCTTACCAATCAAAGTTTATAGTTACAAAGTCTCTTGCTCCAAAAAAGAGGTAGATCTTTGCAACTGGTGTTTCAAATAATTTCAGTATCATTTTCTAAACAAAGATTCTGTGCTAGGACCAGACAGCTTGGATGGTCTTTTCCAAAAGATTAACTGATGACACTCTCCCCCCCAATAAATCTCTGTGGAGCAGAGTTCCTGCCTCCCTGCCCTGTCCCTCTTGTTCCCCAGTGGACCCCCACCTCCCTGAAATGGCCCGTGCATACTCGGGCCCCAGTCCTGCCTTCCTTCCTCAGTGGCTTTGGAGTGTGAGTGTGAAACTGGTGACAGAATACCCAACCCAGACCAGTCCTCGCTCCTGGGGGACAGGCAAGCTTACCTGGGCCATCTGGGTGGCGGTGTTTCCCTTTGCCCCCAGGAGAACCATGGCCAGGGCAGAGGAGATGCTCATAGGGGAACAAAACACGTTGCATGAAGGGTTATCTTCACATAGTAGCTTTAACAGGCGTATGGCAAAGGTTCCACTCGCATTAGAAAAACTTTCCATGATGCAAGGCCTGGAAACCAAGATTAAAGAGAAATGCAGTTTCGACATTCCCTGAACGTTACTGACCTACTTACTACGTGGCGATTTTGGAATCCTACCTTTTCTTTTTATCTCAAAGTTCATATTTTAAGTTGGAGAAAACCTATTTTCTGTTAGTCTCTGACCAAAAACTAAGTGCAAATATTAAGGTGATTAGCTAAGTGTGGTGATGGCAGCAGCTCAAACCAGCCACAGCAATGGAACTGGCTCACCTGCGCGCGCGCGCGCGCACGCGCGCGCACACACACACACACACACAGAGAGAGCTGGGAGCAGTGAACTCCAGTTCTTTCCATAAGGACCAGATCCTCATCCCTGGCCCCATCTGAGGAGGACAATGGGGCCAGGGAGGAGGAGGAAAACGCTGTTCTTATTCTTGCATGCATTTACAAAGAGTCCTTGTGAGATTTTCAACTAGCCACCAGCCCGTGGCCTACCTGTCCTTTAGCTGATACACAAGAGACACTGAGATGTTGAATCTGATCCAGAGACAGAGCTGTGAGGCAAGGAACTGTTGTCCATGGAGGCAAGTGAGTGGGTCCTGGAAGGCTGGGGTGGAGCCAGTCTGCTCCCAGCCAGCCAGGCTGGCCCAGGCCCACTCTGACATCCCAGGAATGCATTCAGGGCTCCTGCCGGTCACTAGCCTCTGGACATCATGCGACCGTTTAACACTGAAAGTGAGACTTAGAGAATTGTGTGTTGTTTTTGCTTCGTTTCATTTTCTTTTTAATGTTCTTGCTAACTCAGAAACATCCATGTGGAGCTTTCCTCATTACTCCCAGCAAAAGTCAGGAGAGTAGATTGTGCATGGAAGGAATGATCCCTGCAGAATGCCAGAATGAAAAGGCAAGAAGCAGCCCAAGGTGAGGAAGTAAAACCAGTGAGAACAAGGAGGTGGTGCCTGTGAAGCCGGTGGAGGCAAAGTGTGAATGTGAGTGGGTGGGTCTCTTGGCCACAGATCTGAAACCAAAGGAACACCCACCCCCAGGCCGCAGTTCCCAATGCCCTTGGAAATGAGCCTCACCCATCCAGCTGCGGCTGGGAGACCTCCCTGACTCCTTCCCATCTCCCCCTATCCCCCCCACTCATCCCCAAGGCCTGCCCTCTGTGCCCACTCTTCTCTCCACTTCAGATCCTGTGCCTGGCCTAGTGCCCAGGCCTCCTCCCGAGCCTCTGGGCTCCCTAGAGCCGCTCCCAGGACACCTCACCTGGACTTCCCAAAACGCCAGCCAAACCACTGGAGAGCCTTGGACAATGAACACAACCCGCTGCCCGCAGCCACCCTCAGCCACAGCCACACAGCATCCTGAGAGGAAAGCAGTGTCACCATCCTCTCGTCCTTCCTCCTAAATCTCCCGGGGCCCTTAGGGTCCGCTCAAAGCCGCCTTGTTGAAATGGTTTCTTCTCCACCTGCGCTTCCCCTGATCCAGCCTCACTCGGGTCACAGCCTCCATCTGTGACCATCCTGAATCCCTCCCAAAGTCACCTCTTGGTAAACACTGTTGCTCCCCCTTAGGAGGCGCCATGACAATCCCGGATTCGTTCCACTCACCCTCAAACACTGCGGCTGGGAGGCTCTGATTCCCACCCTAGAGGAGGTTCCCTAGACTCCGCTGGCGCCGACCTCCCCAGCACGACCCTTCTCCCCAAAGGTGATTCCTCATCTACCTGCTGGTGGTCTCCACAGACCTGCAGGCAAAGGGCTGCGCCTGATTCTCAGGCCCTGGAGAAGTGCTCCGGGGAAGGAAAGACCCCCATCTCTTTAGCTGAATTATTTAAAGAATTAGGAAGGAGGCCGGGCGTGGTGGCTCATGCCTGTAATCCAAGCACTTTGGAGGCCAAGGCGGGCGGATCATTTGAGGTCGGGAGTTCAAGACCAGCCTGACCAACATGGTGAAACCCCGTCTTGAAAAAAAAAAAAAAATTAGGATAAGAGTGCTCAGATTTGGAAATGGAGACTGGTAACTTTATTATTTTTTATTTACTTTGTAGTTCTTTTGTGTGTTTTTTGATTTTTTGTTTTGTTTTGAGACGAAGTCTTGCTCTGTCTCCCAGGCTGGAGTGCAGTGACCGCAGTATCAGCTCACTGCAACCTCCGCCTCCCGAGTTCGAGCGATTCTCCTGCCTCGGTCTGTAGCTTACGTTATTACAGGAGTGCGCCACCACGCCCGGCTAATTTTTTTATTTTTAGTAGAGACCGCGTTTCACCACGTTTGTCAGGCTGGTCTCGAACTCCTGACCTCAAAGGATCAGACCGCTTTGGCCTCCCAAAGTGCTGGGATTACAGGCGTGAGCCACCGCGCCCGGCCGAGACTGGTGACTTTAAAGGACAGAGAAGCAGCAGGACAGACGTCATCCTGCGGATCCCAGAGCAGAGAAGAACAGAGAAAGCACAGGGCCGGCAAGTGGGGAGGGGGCTGCAGGGGAAGGCGGCGTCCGCGCTGGCTGGGGGCCGCCGAGGCAGAGACGGGCTGCGCGCCGCAAGGGACCCCCAAAGACCGTTGCTGTCCCCTCCGAGACGGCACCGCCTCCCCGGGGCTCTTGGCTGAGAGACAGCTCCTGTCCTCGGGTCCCATCTCGCGGTGGCAGCGGGGGACCTGAAGCTCACCACTCCCGTCCCCCACCCCGGCCCTGCGCGGGGACGCCCTCACCTGCCACCTCGTGCAGCGCTGCGCCCTCTCTGTGCCGCGCTCCGAGCGTGGACGCCGATTCCCAAGGCGCAGGACCAGGCCCTGCTGCTGCGCTCAGCGAGTTCTCACTCCAGGCCACAGCCAGCACCGCCCTTTATTACCACAATGTCGAGCACCTCCCACACTTTCCGCTTGACTGGGGCTCCGCCTGCCGGGACCAGCAGGGTCGCAGCGCTAGGTGGCCGAGAACAGGGCTAGGGGCCGAAGCCGGCCAGGTTCTCTGCGTCCGCCCCCGCCAGGGCGATTTCCGCGCATGACCGCCCCCCGCCCCCCGCCCCCGCCTGAGGCCAGCCAGGTGCCCAAGGCGCTCGCCTGGCCTGACCCACCCCAGCGCCAAGGCCGCTTCGAGACCAGGTTCTGAAACTGACAGCCCAGAGAAGAAGGCTGAGGGTCTGCGGTGCCCAGGGCCTCCGCGCCAAGAAACAAGGGGTCTGCGGGAAGGAGACAGAGCCTGAAACCCTGGACTTTTCTACTTTCAGGAAGCGAAGGTTGGGTTCGATGTTCCCAAGCCAGGCTCGATGTTCCAGTGGGAAGGCCCCATGGGTCTGTGTACCAGGCCTCTTGTCTTAGGAATATGAGGGATTCAGTTAACCAAAGCATTTGTTCCAGGTTCCGCCACTGACTAGTACTAGTCCTGGGTACTAGTACTAGTACTACTCCTGGGCACTAGTACTAACTGGTACTAGTCCAGATAGAGAACCAGGCGTCCTCACTCCTAGTACCCGAGCCCTTCTCCTGCCACAGCTGTTTGGACTGCGGTTGGTTTAAGCAACCCCACCATTGCCGCAAAGTGATGGCAAGAGACACTGAGTTACATGGGCTCAGGACACTCCTGCATCCTCTATCAGGGGTCCAGAGGCAGAGACTTGGGGGAGTTGATGCAGCAGTTTGTGATGTCATCAGATATCCTCCTCCGCCTCCATCCTAGGCTGGGATAATTGGCTAGCCATATGGAGGAGAAGGAAACTGGATCCTCGTCTCTCACCTTATGTGAAAATCAACTCAAGGTGGATTAAAGACTTAAACCTAAGACCTGAAACTATAAAAATTCTAGAAGATGACATTGGAAAAATCCTTCTAGATATTGGCTTAAGCAAGGATTTTTCATGACCAAGAACCTAAAAGCAAATGCAATAGAAGCAAACATAAATAGCTGGGACCTAATTAAACTAAAGAGTTTTTGCATGGCAAAAGGAACAGTCATCAGAGGAAACAGACAACCCACAGAATGGGAGAAAATCTTCATAATCTATGTATCAGACAAAGGACTAATATCAAGAATCTACAAGAAACTCAAACAAATTACCACGGAAAAAAGAAACAGTCTCATCAAAAATTGGTCTGGCATGAATAGACAATTCTCAAAAGAAGATATACAAATGGCCAGCAAACATATGAAAAAAGGCTCAACATCACTAATTATCAGGGAAATGCAAATAAAAACAACTATGTCACCTTACTCCCGCAAGAATGGCCATAATCAAAATCAAAACACAGTAGATATTGGCATGGATGCGGTGATCAGGGAACAATTCTACACTGCTGATGGGAATGTAAATTAATACAGCCACTATGGAAGGCAGTGTGGAGATTCCTTAAAGAACTAAAGGTAAAACTACTATTTGATCCACCCACTATTGGGTATCTACCCACAGGAAAAGAAGTCATTATTCGAAAAAGATGCTTGCACATGCATGTTTATAATAGCACAATTCACAATTGCAATATCGTGGAAGCAACCCTAATGCCCATCAGTCAACGAATGGATAAAGAAACTCTGTAAGACATATATGTATATATATGTATGTATATATATATGTACACACACACACACACACACACACACACACACACACACAGAGTGGAATACTACTCAGCCATAAAAAGAAATGAAATAACAGCATTTGCAGTGACCTAGATGAGACTGGAGACCATTAATCTAAATGAAGTAACTCAGGAATGGAAAATCAAACATCATATGTTCTCACTGATATGTAGGAGCTAAACTATGAGGATGCAGAGGCGTAAGAGTGATACTATGGACTTTGGGGACTTGAGGGGAAGAGTGGGAGTAAGACGAGGGATAAAAGACTACAAATATGGGTCCGGTGCAGTGGCTCACGCCTGTAATCCCAGCACTTTGGGAGGCCAAGGCAGGTGGATCACAAGGTCAAGAGATCAAGACCATCCTGGCCAACATGGTGAAAACCCATCTCTACTAAAAATACAGAAATTAGCTGGGCGTGATGGTGTGCACCTCTAGTCCCAGCTACTTGGGAGGCTGAGGCAAGAGAATCACTTGGCTCGCAGTGAGCCAAGATTGTGCCGCTGTACTCCAGCCTGGTGACAGAGCAAGACTCTGTCTCAAAAAAAAAAAAAAAGACTACAAATATAGTGCAGTGTATACTGTTCGGGGTGATAGGTGCACCAAAATCTTACAAATCACCACTAAAGAACTTACACGTTTTTAGTAGAGACGCGGTTGGGGTTTCAACATGTTGGCCAGGCTGGTCTTGAACTCCAGACTTCATGATCCGCCCGCCTCGACCTCGCAAAGTGCTGGGATTACAGACATGAGCCACCACACCCATAGCACCTTTACTAAAAGACAATTGACTACCATAATATTCATCCTTTTTTTTTTTTTTTTTTTTTTTTTTTTTGGGACGGAGTTTCGCTCTTGTTACCCAGGCTGGAGTGCAATGGCGCGATCTCGGCTCACCGCAACCTCCGCCTCCTGGGTTCAGGCAATTCTCCTGCCTCAGCCTCCTGAGTAGCTGGGATTACAGGCACGCGCCACCATGCCCAGCTAATGTTTTGTATTTTTAGTAGAGACGGGGTTTCACTGTGTTGACCAGGATGGTCTCGATCTCTTGACCTCGTGATCCACCCGCCTCGGCCTCCCAAAGTGCTGGGATTACAGGCTTGAGCCACCGCGCCCGGCCAATATTCATCCTTTTAAAGCACGCAATTCAGTAGTTCTTTTGTTGTTGTTGTTTCTGGTGGAGTCTCGCTTGGCTAGGCGTCAGGCTGGAGTACAGTGGCACGATCTCTGCTCACTGCAACCTCCTCCTCCTGGTCCCAGCCATACTCCTGCCTAGGCCTCTGGGGTAGCTGGGACTACAGACATGCACCACCACGCCCGGCTAATTTTGTATTTTTAGTAGATGGGATTTCACCACATTGGCCAGGCTGGTCTCCAACTCCTGACCACAGGTGACTCACCCAAAGTGCTGGGATTACAGCCTGAGCCACCACGTCTGGCCAAAAATCTATTTTTTTTTTTTTTTAGACGGAGTTTCGCTCTTGTTACCCAGGCTAGAGTGCAATGGCGCGATCTCGGCTCACCGCAACCTCCGCCTCCTGGGTTCAGGCAATTCTCCTGCCTCAGCCTCCTGAGTAGCTGGGATTACAGGCACACGCCACCATGCCCAGCTAATTTTTTGTATTTTTAGTAGAGACGGGGTTTCACCGCATTGACCAGGATGGTCTCGATCTCTTGACCTTGTGATCCACCCACCTCGGCCTCCCAAAGTGCTGGGATTACAGGCGTGAGCCACCGCACCCGGCCCAAAAATCTATTTAAAAAAAAATAATAAATTGATAAAATTCTAAAAAGAGAAAGAAAGTGTGAGAGAGAAAAAGGGAGAGAGAGAGAAGACACAAATGATCAGTGTCAGGAATAAGATAGATGGTGTCACTGCAGATTTTAGATATATTAGAAAGAAGATACAGATATTATAAACAACCTCATGCCAATAAATTTGACAAATTAGATAAAATGGACAAATATCTTGAAAGACAAAGCCTACCAAAACTCACTAAAGAAGCAATAGGTATCTTAAACAGTCTTGTCTTCTTATTAAGTTACAGTAATCAGAATGGCATGGTACTGGGATTTTAATAGACAGTTACATCAATGGAATTGTCCAGAGTTCAGAAATAGACCCATACACATATGATCAATTGATTTTCAGCAATGATGCCAATGTAATTCAGTGGAGAAACAATGGTCTTTTTATCAGGCCTCCATGTGCAAGTCCGGACCCAGGAAGTCTAAAGTCCTGACTGCCTCGGTTGATAACCCCCCATCCCCGACCCTCCCTGAGGTCACCATTATTCTTGATCGCCTAGTGGAGCTTCCCCCATACATAAGCTTCCCCTTACCCCACCTTGCCACCTTAACTGTTTTTTGTTTTTTGTTTTTTTTGAGACAGAGTTTCGCTCTTGTTACCCAGGCTGGAGTGCAATGGCGCGATCTTGGCTCACCGCAACCTCCGCCTCCTGGATTCAGGCAATTCTCCTGCCTCAGCCTCCTGAATAGCTGGGATTACAGGCACGCGCCACCATGCCCAGCTAATTTTTTGCAGTTTTAGTAGAGACAGGGTTTCACCATGTTGACCAGGATGGTCTCGATCTCTTGACCTTGTGATCCACCCGCCTCGGCCTCCCAAAGTGCTGGCAGGCGTGAGTCACCGCGCCCGGCCCCACCTTAACTGTTATTAAGATAATGTGAATACTCCTCACCCCACCCTACCATCTTAACTAATCTTATCCTACCCACCATTTTAATTTACAGTAATGTATACTACTTGCGCCTACCCCCACCACTGTAACTGATCTTACTCTGTTACTTTCCACTGCCCACCCCAAACCTATAAAACCAACTCCTATCCCACTGCCCTTTGCTAACGCCCTTTTCGGCCTTAGCCCACCTGCACGCAGGTGAATAAACAGCCACGTTGTTCACACAAACCTGTTTGTTTGGGGGAGGTCTCGTCATTCAAAGCTCGTGTTTTTAACACTTTTCAACATATGCAAAAACATGAACTTAATATGGATCCTAGGCATAGACGTAAATTCTAATGCTATAACATTTCTAGAAGAAACATTGGAGACAATTGTTTTGACCTTGGGTTAGGCAAAGAGTTGTTATAAATGACAACAAATGCATGATGTATAAACAAAAATATCTGATAACTTGAACTTCACTAAAATTAAGAATTCCTGCTCTTTGAAAAGCACTGTTGTCAAAATGAAAATTCAAGTTGCAAGCTGGGCAAAAATATTTATAAGAAAGATAACTGATAAAGGACTTAGTATCTATGAGAACTCTCAAATGCAGTAATCAAACAAAACCAAAATAAAATAAAATGTGAGTGAGAAATTTAAAAAGACATTTCATCAGAAACATACATAGATGGCAAATGAACACATTTT